ACGCACACCAGAATGTATTGTACTATAGTTTGTTCTGATGATATAACTACCAACATCAGCTCTAGAAATCTTGATCTATTGGTTATTTTAGAGACTAAATCTTCACACACACACACACACAAATGGACTGGGGCAGTGTTAGTTTTTTTTGTTTTTTTTTAATAGAGTGTCTATAGATAATATAGAGCATTTGTAATTCTAATTTATGAATTATGTAATGTAAAAATGAACCATCTTAATTCATCAGACACATTTCAACTGTCAACATTTTAACAAAACGTACAGACAAATAATAAGAAGGTTTTCCAAAACCAGGTTAGATTTTTTAAAATAATATTTATCCAGTAATTGCCTCACGGTCTGTTGATGAATAATTGGGAGAGTTTGGGGGGGGGGGGTGTCTCTTGCCTAAAATGCACGTTTTTACTTCATCTTCAATCCTTGAGCATAGCGTGTAATTAGGCGTAAAGTAAAAATCTCTCTCAAATCATCTTTAAGGCCTGTACTGTTGGAAACGTGACGTAGAGATTGAGAATAAAAAAAACACCTTATTGATTAGTATTTCTTGCAAGCTAAATATCGATTTGCTGATGATATCTCAAGTACAGCAAACATATTTTTCGCAGAGTTTTTGGACAAATCCACTCCCTTCTAGGATTAATTGTCGCAAATAGTGTAGCATTCTTATTGGAGTTGTTTAATATGCATTATATTCAAGAAATAAACTTTTCTTTTTTTATAATCCCCCATTAATAGGTAATAATTTGTAATACGAATTGTAAACTTCTAATCAAAATGTACCCGACGTCAGGCATGAACAACCGCAACCTAAAAACAACACCCTATTAACCACAACCTACAGCTGTGACGTACGAGAGCACCCAAAAAAAGCGTCGTTCTCACACCAGCAGGCTCACACCATCAAGGTTTAGTCATTAGTTGAGTACCGAAACAAAAATCAATTTACTATCCTTAAGGTCTAAAACCAACTTACTATCCTTCCAGTCCTAAACTAAATTACTATCCTTCCAGTCCTAAACTAACTTACTATCCTTCCAGTCTAAAACCAACTTACTATCCTTCCAGTCTAAAACCAACTAACTATCCTTCCAGTCTAAGACCAACTTACTATCCTTCCAGTGCTAAACTAAATTACTATCCTTCCAGTCCTAAACTAACTTACTATCCTTCCAGTCTAAAACCAACTTACTATCATTCCAGTCCTAAAGCAACTTACTATCCTTCCAGTCTAAAACCAACTTACAATCCTTCCAATCTAAAACCAACTTTCAACCCTTCCAGTCAGGCAGATATTTTAATTTTAGGAACCTAAAACTTTTCAATCCAAAAGTGTTGCATGGAGGAGACATTACGAAATTTGAGAAAACAAAACTGTTGTTATATAGATACGGGCAATTTTGACTATGGGTATCCTTGAAATTCAGAACAGGTGTAGAATGAATTGGCGTGTTCACACAAATATCTAAGTGCTGGTTATGGCTGTTAAAGCCAGACCCCCAACTCCTTTGAGACTTGTATCAATTATCTAAGTGCTGGTTAGGGCTGTTAAAGCCAGACCCCCAACTCCTATGAGGCTTGTACTGTTGTGTTATTCCTTAACATGACCCATCCTTGTCTGATGCATAAGTTATGCAACGTTGTGATTATTACCACAGAAACAATTTTTAAAAAATTAAATAAATTCTTACACAAAAACTTGATGAAGATGTTTTTTTTTTTTTTTTTTTTTTTTTTTGGTTTTTTTTTTTCTTGTTTGTTTTTTTTTTTTTTTTTTTTTTTCTTTGTTGGTTTGTCTTTGTCCTGTTTGTTATTTATTTTTCACAAAATGTACCTGAAATAACTTGAGGACATGAACAACATTATTTGCATGTTTGTATTGAAATGGGTTGGACACAAAGCGCTTCTCAACCGGTTTTAATTGTCTTACAACACACTTAAACGGCTACGCTACACACCTTTTAAATAGTATATACCGTCGTTAAAATTTTAACCTTATTAACTTATCCAACATTCATAACGTGTTCAAGTCTAATCTGTTATTTATGAAATGTTTTTAATAAGAACAAATGTTAAAATAGAAAAAAACTATTTTGATATCGATACACCACCTAATCTTTTACAAAGGGGGGGGGAGGGGGAGGGGGGCATATGCCCAACCCTACCCTACCTAAACGATGTCCGTGATGTCAGGCCTGATTTTTCTATAGCCATCCTCACAAATCGTTTTCAAAGATATCAAGAAGATATTTATTTGCTTTATTTTGTTTGTATAGTATTCATGGCTTAAAGCTTTAGACTCATACAAATGTCAAGTGAAAAGTGTTTCAATCCAAATGTATGATCATGTGACATCCACCTCCTAGAGACGACACAACGGCTTTAAGCTTTAAAAGTTTAACTATGTCACTCCTTATGACCGGTAAAAATAAAATATGTTTCACCAAAGCCTAGGGTGACAGCCAGAGTCAGGGGTTACAACCGAGTCAAGGTTTACAGCCAGAGTCAGGGGTTACATGCAGACTCGGGGTTTACAGCCAGAGTCAGGGGTTACAACCAAGTCAAGGTTTACAGCCAGAGTCAGGGGTTACATGCAGACTCTTGGTTTACAGCCAGAGTCAGGGTTTACAGACAGAGTCAGGGTTTACAGCCAGAGTCAGGGTTTACAGACAGAGTCAGGGTTTACGGCCAGAGTCAGGGGTTACAGCCAGAGTCAGGGTTTACAGCCAGAGTCAGGGTCTACAGCCAGAGTCAGGGGTTACAGCCAGAGTCAGGGTTTACAGCCAGAGTCAGGGTCTACAGCCAGAGTCAGGGTTTACAGCCAGAGTCAGGGTTTACATGCAGACTCGGGGTTTATAGCCAGAGTCAGGGGTTGTAGCGAGAGTTACAGCCAAAGTCAGGGTGCACAGCCAAAGTCAGGGTTCACAAGCATAGTTATGGATTACAGCCATAGTCAGGGACTATAGGCAGAGTCAGGGATTGCAGGTAGAGTCAAGGGTTACAGCTAGAGTCAGGGGTTACAGGTAGAGTCAAGGCTTACAGCAAGAGTCAGGGATTACAGTGAGAGTCAGGAGGGTTACAGCGAGAGTCAGGGGTTACAGCTAGAGCCAGGGATTACAGCTAGAGTCAGGGATTACAGGTAGAGTCAAGGGTTACAGCTAGAGTTAGGGGTTGCGGCTAAAGCCAGGGGTTACAGCCAGAGCCGTTGCGAGACTATTGGGGGCCCGCTTCCGGTTGTTGTTTTTTTTTTGTTTGTTGTTTGTTTGTTTTTTTTTTGTCAGATTTTAAATTTGTTTCCACTTAACAGCCTTTATCCGAGGCTCTTGAAGCGAAAGTCAGGGGCGGCAGCCGAAGTCAAGGGGTGGCAGCAAAATTGAGCAATACACTTTATAAGAATGCCGATTAGATCTCCCCCCCCCCCACACACACACACCAAGGGTTACCACCGCTCTTCTTTTTCATGCCCCTGACCTATATTAATATTCTAAAGACCCACCCCCTTTTATTTCCACTTATAAGCCTTTATCCGGGGCTCTTGAAGCGAAAGGCAGGGGCGGCAGCCGAAGTCAAGGGGTGGCAGCAAAATTGAGCAATACACTTTATAAGAATGCCGATTAGATCTCCCCCCCCCCACACACACACACCAAGGGTTACCACCGCTCTTATTTTTCATGCCCCTGAACTATATTAATATTCTAAAGACCCACCCACTTTTACACCGAAGATTTATTTCACCAACTATTTCAGAAAAACAAAAGAAACGATTGCGCACCAAAAATACATGCGATATTTTTTTTAAGAATCTTATTTAGGGCAGTTATCTGGAATTTTATTTCATTAAATCAGTGTCATCATTAGTTCCTTCATCTTCTCCTTGAAAAACAGGAAAAACTGTTTTTGGGGTGTTGGGGAGGGCTAACAGTTTGATACAATGTGTTGTCATTGCAAATGAGTTTATGTGCCAAGTGTCAGCTCGATAGGAAGGCGGGAGATGGGGAAAATTTGCCTTCCGAAAATTTTGCCACCACAGAAAAAGAAAAAAATACACAACAAAAGCTATTTCCATAACGATTTTTTAAGACATTTGATGACGTGTCCAGATCTACTCCGTGTCTCATGAAGAAGGAGGATGCCATATAAAAAAAGTATTGAAATAAATTATTACGGTAGGCCTACATTGAAGAGTTTGTTTTTTTTGTTGTTTTTTCCTACATTGAAGAGTTTTTTTTGTTTGTTTTTTTTATGTAATATGAAAGTTTTAAAAAATAATTAGGTTTTTCAAACAAGCTCTTTATTTCTCCATGTAGATATAAGGATTATCAAAATGTCAATTGGATCATAAAGTTTATGAAAGGTTTAGTTTATTTTCGTAGATTACTCTCCTGGGAATTTTCCAGGTATTGGTGACTATATCTTTTATACTTTTCTTGAACTTTCTAACTTATTTTAAAACTTTCGATTTATGAAATAAGGTTTTAAGATTATCTGTCTTTTTATATTTCTATAATTTTTGGTGATTTTTATCTGATGCTATGAAATCAGATTTAAAGACATTATTGGAATGAAAGCTTTTCAGGCACAAATTAGACCTGTGAACTGCGTGTGGAATAATGCCCTGGTCCTCTTCACATGCGACGAGAGAACAAGATTTGATTTCCTAACTATCTAATCAACATTTATTATGTCAAGGACTAACACTTTTGGAATTATTTTGTTTTTATGTTTTGTAAATGAATTATGTCCCTTGATCTTAGTTTCCTTTTTCATACGCAACTTTTTCATTTGACATAGGGCCAAAAAACGTATTTTAAAAAACCAAGTTATGGGACCTCAAAAAATACTGTATATTTATGTGTTCTCATCGCATTATTTCCCCATCACCCATTGATTACACATCGATACGCTGAGTAGACATAATAATCATAATAGGGTAACAGTCATTGACAGGTAAAATTAGAGCGGAAGTTGACACATACCCCTGCGCAGACGCTCAGGTACAAACGACGGGAACCAGGAAATGGCCGCTGAATAGTGTGTTTTCGTTTCTTGTATAAATTCATGTCAAGTAATCGGCCATGAGTTAGTCCTGTTAGAGATTATCATTGGAAATTGAAAGCCGTGCTTCTTAAGACAAAGCGTCACGATGAAGGAGGTTGACCTAGATAAGGCAACTATAGACACCTACCATGCCTGGGTTCAACGGGGCATCAGGAATGACCTGAACGCCGTAAGTATCTTCTTTTTTTTTTAAATCAACAAAGAATAGAAATAATATTGGCCAGAAATATTTCTAAAATGTTTGTTGCAAAGGCAGGAGACAAAACATTTAGTCGTGAATGTTGAGTATTTATGTACCTGAGTATTAGTATGGTTAGCCGTCAACGAGGTTATAATTGTACAGGGAATTAGTCACTTTACTACAGACTACTGACTTAAATTTAGTTTTAATTGATATTTGAAATTTACATGCTACTGTTCTAACTAAAACTACTGTCTAGTGTATACTATTAAATTATGCCTGCAGGCTATTTGACATTTTTCAAATTTAGTTTTTATTATTATTCCCAACGTTCTTGACTTTATAACTTTTTCTTTGTTGTTTCTGTGGAAGATTTAATTATTTTTATTATATGTCTATTACTGTTAATTTAAAATTCTCTATGATTCATGATGTTGTCATGTTTCACGACATTTGACATATTCTGACATAGTTTAAGTGCGAGGAAGGTGTGGCTGTCACTGTAACATTCTTAATTAAGTTAATACAAATAGATTTAAATAAATAAAAAATTAGCCTAATGTAGCAATAACAAAATATGTTTGAAATCATAATGAAGCAAATTATCAACCAAAAGTATAAAGTATTGACTAATGTAAGAAAGTCTGAATATTTCATCTTTTTTAAGTGTTTAGTCATTTTCCATTGAGGTATCAGGTATCTAAATCTGTGACAAAAAATTGTTTGCTTGATCATGCATGTATTTTGCTAAAATGTTTTTACACCTTTTGAATTTGAATGATTTTAGTTAATCATTAAAACAATATTTTTTTACAATGTGAGTGTGATGATGTTTGCAGGTGTATCTTGGCCCAGGTCAATATCCATTTAGGGCTGGCCTTTTCCTCCTGTTCTGTGCTTTTGTCAGCTTCTTTGTGGGGTTGCTGCTCGTGGTACTCCGCATGCGACATGTTTACCTGTGGGCCTGGGACTCGCAGTTCTTGGGACCTTTCTTCTTCATTTTGTTTCTTTTGTGTATGGCTGGAGCCTCCTACATGTTCATCCTGGCCAAACGACGAAGCAACAAGTACAGGTCACAGTTGTATGTAAGTGCTGACCTAGTTTTATTCGTTTTTGTTACAAGGACTAATGTAAATAATTTTAAGATAAATTTATTACTAATTAGGCCCTACCCTTTTTATTATAAACGCTTTTTAAAATTGGTTCTCCTGTAATCAAAATTTAGTTGCCGGTACTTTGCATTTATCTTTGCTCAAACAGCAAGTTTTACCTTTTTTTTAAGTTTGACCTAAACATTATTCCTTGTGTCCAACCCATTTCAGTTCAGACCTATTGGTGACTGGGGAGTATCATGCATACACAAAAGTGAGCTAGCTTTGGAACTTGAATATAAGTAAGTTTTAGTCAACTTTTTAATGAGCTATGGATTTGACATTTATTTGTAGTTGGTTTCAAATAGAAAATCATTATAAGTATGAAGTATATTTGTTACATTGAAAACAAAAACTTTATAAATTTAAATGCTATTTATTGATAATTTATTGTATTTAATCTACAGGGCTGATCTTAAATCAGGGACAACACCACACAAAAATGTCAAACCCCGTTCTGAAGCATACTCGCAGGTATGACTTAATCTTAAATCTTGTGTTGGGAGGTGGGATCTTTAACTCAGTCTGATGATTGCTTCATGTGGCAGTCATGGTTACAGGTGTTAAATTACCAATGATCATGAAGAGAAGTGATGGTAGCACTAAAGTTCAAGCCCCCTTTCCTTCTCAATATTTCAAATTGATGTCAATTGTACTGTAACAATTGGCTTGTTTTCTCAAGCTTAGCTTCAGTTTGAATAGGCCTTTATCATTTGTTCCATAATTTGTGTGTATAAATTGAGGGGTTTGTTTGATTTAAAACAGTCCAGCAAAGATATTCGCAAGTCTCGACCAAGAGATGGCAGGGATAACCATGCTTATGACAAGAGCCCCCTGGATGCCAACAAACCTTTTCGACCTAATGATCGCAGGCATGGTCCCCCTCCCGAGGGGAGAAGAGGACCACCACCTGAAGGACGTAGGGGTCCACCTCCAGAAGGAAGAAGAGGACCACCGCCAGAAGGAAGAAGAGGCCCACCGCCAGAAGGAAGAAGAGGTCCACCTCCAGATGGCAGAAGAGGACCGCCCCCTCAGAATGGGGAAAGGTCTCGGGGACCACCACCTGAATATGAGGAGAGAAGAATGCCAGATGACAGGCAAGTGCTTCTGATCTTGTATTAACCTAAATGTGGTCTTGTACCATTCATGTTGATCATTGTGTTATAAAACTTGATTTTTTTTTTTTTTCCCTTATGTCTACGTTTTTACTTTATATTTGCAGACCTCAAGATAGACTTCGACCACCAACCAATGGCCAGAGAGGACCTCCACCACCCGGTGGGGCTGCTAGAATCCCCATTGATAGAGGGCAAAGACCAAGAGGGGTGCCAAGATTTGATGATGTGGAGAAAATACCGGATGATGAGTAAGTGTTGTTTTTTTAATTGTGGGGTTAGGCTGTTTTTTTTTAAAAAAAAATAAAGGAAATAATTTCTCTGTTTTGTCAAATTATATTTTCTTTTTTTAATTTCTAGAGAATGGTTTGTCCAAACTTCCTTTTATTCAAATGACCCACCCCCACGAGTTATTTGACTCAGTATTCCACCCCGTCCAATAATAAAAGTGAATTTGTTTTGGAGCGAGGGTAAAAAAAATTTAAATTATGTTACAGAGAAATTGTAGAGTTTAGAAGTCATGAAATGTGACTCATTACCTAATTATTTAGTATAAGTATAATGTTGTGTTAACTCTCAAGGTACGTTGAATTGACTTATCGGACACCGGTGGCTGATGGATTCAAACTTGATTTTTTTCTAACCTTTTTATAAACCGAAGTTATTTTTATCTTTTATCTTTAATTTAATGGACAAATTAATTAAAAAATACTATTTTAAGTTTGTATTAAAATTTTTAATTTGAAAAAATTTGCTCCGATCCGCGTGTTATTTTTCGACGCTACGCGATTCCCGTCCGCCATCTTTACAATCATTTCAACTTTTCACGAGACGAGTCGATGGCAATATTTTAAAATTATGGCTGAATATTCGTCATCTGATGAAGAAATTAGTTATATTTCAAGTGAAGATGAAACTTCTGTTGGAGAGGAGGAAGAAAACGACAGTGATATTGAGAATGTCTTGCCTTTTACCGGTGGACAAGTTCACTATCGAAGGTAATAGTTTTTTCTTTGTTACAGTTTTCTTCCACTCGTCTGACAGATCACAGTTTAAATTGATTTTACTGCAGTTACGTTTGCATACGGTAGCAATGCCATATATAGAATTATAGAACATTCATTTTAGTAATATATCCTTTTTTCTTTTTCTTTTTTATAAAGAATTTATTTTATTATAATTTTTTTCCCAAATCCATAACAAATGACATTTCTCTTTGTTTACATTGGTTACGCTACAAAGTGAAATCAGTATTTCGATTGGTATTATAACATGCTTCATGATAAGGTTATAATTTTCCGGACATTAGTTGTAACATTGAACATTGTTGTGTATTTAATTGTGTTTAATTATATAAACACTTCTTTTCAATTCTATATCTAAAGTTTATACATCTATTTTTATTTCACAGTTATGATGATTTTGACCCTGGACCCCCCAAGCCCATTCCTGCATTCAAGCCTGAACGACCACCTGGTGCCCATTTCCCCGAATCAACAACCAGAGATGAGAGGAAGAAATATCTTACTCCTCTTTCAATTTTCAAATTATTCTTTACAGAAGCATTACTGGAGACACTCTGCAAATATACCAATGACAATGCAACTGCCATGGGACCCACTAAACCCTCAATGTTCAAAAACTGGATAGATATAAACAATCAAGAGCTATTAACATTCATGGGCCTTCTCATGTACATGGGACTTGTGCAAGCACCAAATGTCAAATGTTATTGGAGCAAGAAATCATTATTCAATGGATTATGGGCTAGACAATTTATGACAAGGTTTAGATTTCAACAAATATTATGTTTTCTAAAAGTTTCGAACCGGAATACTGAGGTAACCAATGATAAACTTTGTAAAGTTAGATTTTTGTTTGACTTCATTAGAAGGAAGTGCATGAAACTGTATCAACCAGGGCCTAATATTTCAATTGATGAAAGAATGGTGAGAAATAAGGGAAGATACTCATTTCGCCAATATATTAGAGATAAACCAACTAAGTGGGGAATGAAATTATGGGTTCTCGCAGATTCAATTTCGGGGTATACTTATGATTTTGACATTTATTTAGGTAAAACTGGCAATGTTCCTACTTTATGTTTAGCTTATGGGGTTGTTATGAAATTAGTATCTTCCCTTATCAACCAGGGTTATTCTTTATATTTTGACAATTTTTATTCAAGTTTTGCTTTGCTGACTGACCTTTTAAAGAAAGGTATATCAGCATGTGGGACTATAATTTCAAGTAGGAAAGGCTTTCCACCTGAATTAAAAAATATAAAACAATGGGAAAAGACCAGCAAGAGAGGGGATATGAGGTGGGTTAGGAAAGAAGAAGTGCTAGCAATGCAGTGGAAGGACAATAAAACTGTATCGTTAGTTTCTACTATTCATAAGGCTAATGAATTTAATAATGTATTTAGGAGAAATAAAAATAAAGGAGTTTTTGAAAAGTTAGAAGTTAGGCAACCTGTATTAGTAAGGGATTATAATATTAGTATGGGAGGGGTAGATAAGAGTGATCAGCTTTTAAATAAATATAATATGCTCAGGAAGACAAATAAGTGGTGGAAAACTTTATTTTTTCATTTCATTGATATTGCTAGGGTTAATAGTTATATATTATTTCAAGATTGGAGAATGCAAAATCCTGATCTTGAAATTTTAAAAAGGCCACCATCATTTAGTCAACTGGATTTTACAGTTGAACTAATAAGACAGTTGGCAAACATAGATGATTTTGCTCCAGTGGTCAGTGCAATAAAACCTAAGATTGAAATGACATGTCATACCATATTGCCAACTATGGTTCCATCAAATAAAAGAAAAATTTGTAAATATTGTTATGCACTTTATAAACTACAGAGAAGAACAAGGGTATATTGCAATGGTTGTGGTACTTTTTTGTGCTTTCAAGAGGACAGAAATTGTCTTCTTTTATATCACAAAAAATAATTTAAAATGTTTTGTTCAAATCATAAATATATATTTTTTTTAAAATATTTTATTATTAATAGTATCATTATTCAGATTTGTATATCAAACAACTATGGTTTTAGTTATAAGAACACTCCCAAGTTAAAATTAGAAATTCTCTTAAAAATGTAAAAAAAAAAAAAAATTCTTTCATTTTCATGATTTCATTATACATTTTTAAAAATCGTCTCATTATTTTAAATTTGAGTGAAATTCTTTGAAATTGCAATATGTTTTGTACAAATGGTAATTGTTTATAAAAAAAAAAAAAAATTCTTTCATTTTCATGATTTCATTATACATTTTTAAAAATCGTCTCATTATTTTAAATTTGAGTGAAATTCTTTGAAATTGCAATATGTTTTGTACAAATGGTAATTGTTTATGGCCATAATAAAGATTTTAAGTTTGTAAGAAACACTTTTTTTTTTCTTTCATACTGTTTGTGTCATATTGTAATTTTCATTTAAATTTGTGGGTAAAAATAACTCGATCCAATAAATTTTTATCAAAAACCATTTTAAAAATTATATTATTTTTTATATCAATTTAAAGATAATTCAATTGTGAATCTATTGGTATATAACATGCCACTATTGTTAGAGTCTTTGATTTACAGAAGTTTAAATTACTGAGGTCACTCAAACCGAGCACAAAAAAGGGGGAAAAACCAAGAATATTTAAGAGTTAAGGAAGAAATGCTTTAAAAATTTTAAATATATAACATAATTAAAGTCAGTATTTTCTGATTCTTATCATTACTTTACCTCACTCCCTTGGCTTAATCCAGTGTTAAGTGCTGAATAAAACCTATTCCAGTTAAATTTCTCTTAACACTACATTAAATAAGTTGGCCAAAATAAAAAAGAATAGTTAGGCTTCAATTAAGTGACAAGCATGCTAATAACAATGATAAGTATATGATTTCCCGTCATCCAAACTGTATACTGTGATTCTCATTTGTAATTTCAGGCTCCGTGATGTCAAACTTATCTTGGAAAGATCTCGTGATGAATCAGATATCTGAAGTGACCATCTTGGCAGCCTTGTACAGATTTGTTCAAAGAGTGTATGACAGATTACGAGAATATTTCCATATCATGTATATATTTCATTTTCAGATCAAAGTTCAGAAATGCATATTTTTATACAATTCATGTTATCTTCTTTAGTCAGTTGATAGTTGAGTGCAGAAGTTTTAAAAATATGAAAAATATCCTCCTGTTCCTATATTTTGAAATTTAAAAAAAAAAAAAAAGACTTATTGATAAGCCTCATTTTGTCATGGTCTTACCTAAGTGAAATTAAATTTGCCTTTATCTAGTATAGATGTTTGGTGCACTTGTGAAAATTTGATTGTCCAAGACATTTACTGTCCGATTCAGGAAATAATATATCCTGTCCTATTCTGTCAAAATGTCTTTTTAAACAAATTCATCTTACATTACAATTTTTGTACATAGCCAATAACTCATAATTTTTCATACATACAGCAAGGAGAGGTTGATGTAAAAATATAATAATGTATCTTTTTTTCCCCCATTCTTTTTGTACAAACATTTTCTGATTTTTTTCTAAGTTAAGATTACTGTTAGGTCATAAGGTAAAAAAAAATGTTCAGTGATGTTCTTCAAGCTCATATTTTTTTTAATGTATTTTACAGAAGAGGTTTTTATATGGCTGCTATTTCAGATTTTTGTCGTCCTGCCTTATTTTCAAATGATTGAATTCAGACATTCCAACTTTTTCGCTTTTCTATCAAACTATGATATGAGAAAGTCAATGTAAGACATGTAATCTAATAAAATGAGATAACCTATCGATTTTTTATTGTTGAAGTTTCAGTTATTGTTTTTTGAGTAAACATTCATTTTTGTTGTCTGTGCTCTCCTGCAAAGTGCCAAGGGGAGGTACTTAGTATTGATACAGTTTGACTGACAACAACATAACTCTGTTGTGCCCGTACCATTAGTACCAAATTATGATGCACTAGCATAATAATACTAATGGAACACTAGTTGAAGTATTTAGTGATTTTCATTTCAATTCATGGCAGTTAGCATGAAAGATTGCTGAACTTTACTTTATGCAATATGTCTACGATGCCCTTTAAAAATATCCCTAACAAGGTGGGTCGCAAAACTCTGCAATTGGATTTTTAAAATAAATTCCTCTCTTTGAGACCCACCCATAGCATTTTCCCATATCCATTCTTCATTCAGTTTAGCAGTTTAAATATTTGTGATATTTATTATTTTGAAATTAAAGGAGTAGCAGAAAGGAGTAGCAGTAAAAATTAATTGTGCCCTCCATAAAATTCCCAGGCTTCAAATAGTTTTCTTTAACTAAGTTTAACTGAAGACCTCAACTTAAAAACTTAAAAAAATTTTTTTTAATTAGAATCTTTCAAAAGGGTTAATACCAATAAATCAATTTCCAAAGGCCAGTAATAACTCTTCAGTATGTAGCAATTCAAGATGCAGACTTTATAGCATCATAAGATAAACATTCAACTTTAACAGGTTAGGTCACTAACCATTAATTCTTGCTCACATTACTCAGCGCCAATTACTTAACTAAAGAAAAAAAGGCACTTACAAAAATTTTAATAAAATTTAAAATATTATAAAACTGTTTTAATTCATATAAGTTTTTGTATCTCTTGAAATGGCAAAAGTTAACAAATATGTTTAAATACCATTTTAGAAGATACTCCACATATCAATTCAATAAAAAAAATTTCTCCAATGTTCAACAACAAATTTTCAAGAAATATTTATTATCCCTAAGTAAATACCCTAGGTTACAGGCAATGCTTATAATTCAAATCTGAAGTGACGGATGGTATTTATATTAAAAAAAAAAAGAAATGATTTTCAATTGATTAAATAGAATGGTATTTACAACGAAATGAAAGCAAGAAAAAGATATCTACACAAAATATGTCATCAGGCTTATAACAAGTACTTCTTGTATTTTAGTCTTAATGTTTTACCATAATGAAAAGGCACATCATTTACAGTTCACATTTATGACCGTTACACTTGTGACACATTAGTCAAGCCAAAGGAAATATTACTTTGATGCTAGAAATAATAGCAAAGTCTTACATTAATTTGTTATGCAAAACATTATCTACGATAGCTTTTCTTGATTCCTTTGATTGAAGTTCAAAGGCCTCTTTTGTCTTGTCAAACACTTTATCCTGAAAACATACATTAAGTGACAGGTAACAACAAAACTATTTATTAATTTTTCATGCAAACGTATGTGCATTACCTAATTATATTTACTTTAATTTTTGTTGTTTGTAATAATTCTAAACAATAAATGTTTAAAAATTATGAAAAATTAACTGAAACATTTCTATATTTGAAAATATGCATGCTCTAAAATCCTATTGGTATATGCCAATCTTTTGAAACAGCCGACAATTAAAATATGTTACTTACTGTCTTCAGCAGTGTGATCTTTTGTATGAGTCTCTTAAATTCTAGCACAGTGAGGTCCTCTACTGGTGATCTAAGCTGCAAAAATGGACATGTAGGAGAGTGTTTCTTGTGTTCAGCACTGAAAACAATATCCAAAAAAAGGATTTAGAAATCAAATTAGTTTATGCACACAAGAAACACACAAATTTCATAAAATATCAAGTTCAGTTGTTCAGACCAGATTGTTTCCCCAATGCAGCTTTTCCAAAGCAACAATTTTTGTTATCTTTTGCAATCATAATTAACTAGACTATCCACTGCTTACTTATTTTTGTTTTATAATTTTCCTCTCAAGGTCTAGCTGCACTGTAGTAATGAAGTATGGTAACCGTTTGTTAACTAACTGTTGCCAGGCAAAACAACATTTGTTCAGAAAGAATTACTAATATAAAATGAAGCCTTTAACACTGTCAAAATTATCAGACATCAATTAATGCATCATTTTGCATCACTAGAGCACAAAAACCTTACTCTTGAAGGATCAATAGCTTATGATTAACTTTCATGACTGACAGTATGATATAATCAATACCATCAGACTAAAAGGCTTATAATTATAGTACACCCTAAACTAATTTTCAACTGTAATTTTGTATTTTGGAAACAAAAAAATCTCCACTTTTTATACCTGTCACTATGGAAAAAATTAAAACTTGCAACTTAAGTGGTTAAAATCCCATTTCCTTACTTGTCTTCTGATCTGATAGGGAAATTTATGTTGTCATTTGATTGATTTCAAAATGACAGGTTAATACCATACCATTGACTAGTATAGAGATGCTTAATTCATTATCATTATTTTTTTTACTCACAGTGGGTCATCTGTAGGATCCCAACCGTCCAGCTCTTTTTGACAAAACAAACAGCAAACATTATCAATAGACTCTTCACAGGGATGAAAATAAAATCCAGCTTTGGCTAACTGAAAGAACATAATACATAATAATTTTTTTAAAAATTATTATCAGGGTTTGATGAATTATGTCTATATTTAGTACCTTAGTCTCATACTTGATTGAATTACTATTTTATGGGGTAGCCAAGTAGTTTATATGTAAATATCCATTGCCATTTAATTAATTAATTATATTTAAGGCTAAACTGTAAATAAAATTATTTCAATTAAAATCTAAGAGATACAATTTTTTACCTTTTCTAAAACTACTGGGACTAGTATTTCTTGTATGCTTCATTAACGAAATCGTTGACTGAGCTATTAAATAAGTTTCTCACACTAATATAACTTTAAACTACAGTAGTCTACACTGACAACAAAAATACTGTATTACAATAGTGTTATTTTAATATATCTCAAGATCATTGGGGCTAAATTTAATTGATTTGTTCCTATTACAGTACCTGTATTTAAATTTGCTTCTATTATTGGGTACTCAAAATTGTATTCACAAAAAATATGGGCTACTCGAAGAGCTACCTATAGTATCTTACAGTTTTAATTAAACTAATGAACAGTAACAAAGTGCAGAAAAATTTAGTATAAGTAGTAATAGTTACACTAGTACCAAGGGATCTCAAACATGGCTTTCTCCTGCTGTCCATAAAGTCAAAGAATAAGACAGCAATTTATTTTGTTTGATACTGATAGGTGGAACAGGTCATTATATTACTTAATCCTCTCAATTATAACACCCTTTTTCTTCTTTGAACTCTAGTTTACTCTGTCTTAGCTGCATGATGAATTGAGAACTTCACATTGCAAGTCCTATTTCATTATACTTGTACTATAGGCCAGGGGTTGGCAATCTCTGGCACCTTATAGTTATATGAAAATTAAAACAAGTTCAACAACAGCAGAAGTCGCTTTAAAATATATTTAAAATATCTTATAAGAAGTAGGACCTATGGGCCTAATATTTGATTTTATACAAATATTTTGTGATTATCCTATTAAAATTAAAAACAAAAACTTTATTTCATATTCTATTTAGAAAATATTAACTAAGTGACTTCAATCAAGTTTATTCAACATGTCATTCCCCTTTTTTTTAGTACAAGAACATGTAACTATAAAGAGAGTAAATGAATAGACAGGGCGTAAGGCCAAGTGACCTTCCGTTAATGAGAAACACTGTTTTGAAAGTTTTTCTTATCCCAGCCTTTGCCAAATTAGACACTTAAGCCTACCAGACTGCTTCGCTCCTTTCTTGCTCATCTCTGCATTTAAATGGTGTTTTCCATTGATAGATTATGATGTTATGTCATTTTTATAAATTTTCTTTTTTTACCAAGTGATCCCTATAAATTCTTTATAAATATAGGTCCAAGACATATGCCACACAGCATAAGCACCAGCAGTGGCATTACTCACTGTAAAAAGTGCATGCAGACATAACCCCGGTTGGGAGGTATGCAAAAGGTAAGTTTGTTGTGCGGACGTCCTTTGTGGAAACCTTTATCTAGAGCCTTGATTTGTGTAGGCCCTTTTTGGGCTTTGTGCCTCTGCCCATAACACACCCCCAGCATGGATCAATTTCTTAACACTCTGCAAATAGTACATGCTCTGCCACTCTGGAAACAAATTCTGTCATGAACAGGGTAAACACAGACCTATCGCTTCGCTAGACAGTTTGCTACCGTCCTGTGTGTTTCTAAAATCTCAGAGGTTTTAAAATATTTGCTATGAGACTGAAGATTGTGAATGAACTCTGGATATCATGTCTAAATTTTTCCAATGCATAGTGAAAGCAAGCTGGTTGAGAAGACAACCATGTACATTAATTTTCATATGATAACTGGTATTTTCTTTGGAGTTCATACTCATACGGTAACCGATTTGTGAAAAGCTGTAGTCTACCTCATGGCTACATTTAAATGTAAAAGCAAAATGTTAATAATCAACTCTAATGAAGAATGTTGAAATATAAATAATATAATAAAATGTTGCTCAGTATTTGTTCTTTTGTTATTATACTATACATGTTAGATACATTGTATCTTCTGTATTACTTTTGTATTATTTTCGAATTCAAAGGTCGGCACAACTTATTTAAGTTTAAACTTAAATACTTAATAATCGGAATACAACATATATTGAAAATATTTAAATTGCTACAAAATATTTAAAAAATTTGCATAAAAGTACTGTTACAAATGAACATAATAATTTAAACATAAAATATATTTTTAATTAAAATGAAAAAAAAATAGTAAAACTCTATCCCCATCTGGGAATTGATCACAAAATATATTGCCTAACGTCTACTCTACCACAAGACAACACACGATGATATCTAACAGACATATCTTAAAAGAAGGCCAATGGTATATTTTTGTTGCGGTGTACGCAGACACTGACACAGGACCATGATTTTGCTAGGTACAACACCAGTGTATGCAGGCCTAGGTCCATTGATTTTGCTAGTTACACCACTGCTGTGCAAGCAGCCACTTCGAAAATAAAATCCAGCTGAGGCTGAGCAATAAATTAATTGTAAGCATTTTGTGTGTGCTAATTATTATGATTAAAATTATGAATTTCAAAATAGGCCTAATTATGTCTATAATTACTATAATAACAGCTTTAGTGCATATTTTAAAAAATCGTGTTACTTTAGTGACATGGAACAGTATAATAATAACGGGATTAGGCTTAACGATGACAACAGAAGCTTTGGCCGATCTCTGTTTAGAAAAATGGAAAATGTGACGACCCAACCCCCCCCCCCCTACCCTCTCGTTTTTGTTTTTCTGGTGGGAGGGAGGCCAAATGAGTATTTTTGGTCAAGTGGGAGGATTAGGCTTAACGATGACAAAAGAAGCTTTGGCCGATCTCTGTTTAGAAAAATGGAAAATGTGACGACCCAACCCCCCCCCCCCCTACTCTCTCGTTATTGTTTTTCTGGTGGGAGGTAGGCCAAATGAGTATTATTGGTCAAGTGGGTCATTGTTGCGTCAATTAATGGGTCAATTGTTCAACTATAACACAAATTAACATCTAGGAATCACTATTAACTATTTACTTTTAATGCTATAAAGGATCAATTTTTTTAACGGCACAGAATATGATGAAAACATAAGGCTTGATACATAAAAATAAAATGTATACAATACAAAGAAAAAGAAGAGTATTATGTCTTGAAAATCCAAAAGCAAAATTATAAGACTAAACACAAAAATAAATTTTGTAGTGCACCACGACCAGTCTAAAACATTGGAACATGTTTTTTGGCAACATAATGTATTGAAATAAACTGTATTAGTGGCACAAAAAGTCAGAATGTCATTTACGCGGTGTATTAAGCCCCATGTTTTGAAGAACTTTTTGTTTTCCCTTTTTAAATAAATAAATATTATTAAATTCAAACTGTAAATATTTTTAAGTAACAGACCGCACATCTGTCTTTAAGTACAAAAGCTTTAATGAGCAAAATTTAAAGCGATATAGTGAAAAAAAAGGTCAAAAAGTTACAACTAATTATAAGAATTAAATTTAACAAAAGTGGGGAAATAAGCTACAGCATGTCCAATGCATGTACTTTCACATAGGTTGTAGGCAATTTTCACAGATACACTTCAAGGCTTCAATAACAGCTTCTTCTGGCATTTCTGTGCATTTAAATTTAACACACCAAATGTGACACAAGTCACAACACACTCAGTCTTCTCCACGTCCTCCATGCACGTCACACTTAAGGCACACAGTGTCATCGTCCTCCTCATCACTATCATCTCCATCTGGAAGATTTCTTTTTTTCTCAAGGTGTTTTTTCTTGGAGCTTTATCTTTTTTTGCTTTTCCTTCTCTCAGTCGATTCAAACATGCATCAATGGCATCCTGTTTTTCTTCGGACTACTTTTGGATGGCGTGGGATGAAGCCACTGAGTGGAAGGAAGTGGTGAGGCAGGCCAAAGCCCTACATGGGCTGTAGCGCCACAGGGATGGATGGATGGATGGGATGAAGCCACTCCAACCAGTTCCTACTTACTACTACTAGGTCGACCATCCACAAAAGGCATGTCAAGATCATTTTCCTTCACGAATTGATAAATGATGTCTTTGACCTCCTCTTTACGGAAACCCCCAGCCTCACTCAGCCAACACAATAAGGCAGTCCGCCACTTCTTCTTCTTGATTAGTTGTCAAATCAGTTTGCCTCCCTTTATTACCCCCTTTTATTTTAGTTTTACCCTACGCCTACTTCTACTGCACTACATAACATCAATCTATCACCAATTAATAGTTTTTGATAGAAAACTTCCAATAGCCGCCTAGAAGCTACTAGTAGTAGTGTACCAATACTACAATAGCTCTCTAGTCTCTAGAAGTTAAAAGCTATTTTTTTTTAGTTAATAGTAAAAATTGATAAAATAATCTAACTCTAACCTTTTCTGGCGTACATTCCCATGATGAAGTGTCGTTAGGCCAGTTCTCAAATGTTTTAAGACGTTCTGATTCAATAAGCATTCTAATTTTATCATCTGGAATTAACAAAGCTGTTTCGTAATCCATTTTAATCAACTTTAATTATACCAATTATATATACGAAGTCTATGTGTTAAATTTTCAAATTTCTGGCCGGAAGTGTGAAACTAAAATCACAAACCAAAGAGTGAAACCAGACCTTGGAACATTTCCCAAGATATTTAGAATTCCCGAACCTCTTGGGAAATGGGGAATATCGGGGGAATGTATAACGTCAACGGCCCCGCAAAATTCATTTTACCCAAGGCCCCGCATCCTCCTAGCGACGGCCCTGTTTCTGAGTTTTGATTTATTTTGCTTCAATAACCTTTTTTTTTAAAATTATATAAATTTTAATTAATTATAAAAAGAGAGACAATTTTGTAAAATATTATTTTGTTAACTCTATAAATGGGTAAAAATTCATCTTTTTTTAAAAATGCTTTCAATGTTCAATTTTTACTGATTCGATTCATATACTTAGAATCGCCCAAACATATCGTATTTGGTATCAATGGAAAGCATTATTTATCAGAATTTAGATAAATATAGTTTCCCGTCATCTACGAAAGTTACTGAACACTTTAATAGGAGTTTAATCATGGTCAAAACGGTTTTTTCTTACCTAATTTGAGGGTCAGACAATGTGTGAAGGGCACTTCAGACTTTCATATGTTTACTATTAAATGCCCCGTGGAGAAATACAACATAAGAATACAACATCAACATTAGAGACCGACCGAATTTCGGCTTCGGCTTCGGTTTCGGCGCCGAAAGTGGCCATTTTATCACTTTCGGCCAAGTTTCGGTTTCGGCCGAAACTGAAAAGTTAACTTTCGGCTTAATTTCGGTTTCGGCCGAAAGAGAAAAGTTAACTTTCGGTTTTTCTTCGGTTTCGGCCGAAATTGACTTAGACTTTCGGCCAT